TTTTTTTTTTTTTTTTTTGAGAGAGAGGCTCATTTTGTCACCCTTGGTTGAGTTCTATGACGTCATAGCTCACAGCAACTTCAAACTCCTGAGCTCAAGCGATTCTCTTGCCTCAGTCTCCTGAGTAGCTGAGACTACAGGCGCCCACCACAACACCCAGCTATTTTTAGAGACCAGCTCTCACTCTTGCTCAAAGCTGATCTCAAACCCATGAGCTCAGGCAATCCACCCACCTCAGCCTCCCAGAGTGCGAGGATTACAAGTGTAAGACACCACACTGCCTCAAATTTAGAAACTTTTTAAGCAGCTGTACACCTGCACCTTAATAACCAACAAGTTACAGCTCTAAAAAGAAAAATCAACTCTAGTAAATACTACATGCTAATTTTGCTCTCACAGATGTATGGAAGGTGTTTGTATTTAAAGCTTATATAAATAGTGCCCAAATATTTAATGAAAATTTCAAAATATGTATTAATCTCTGCTATCATAAACACTTTGTACTTTAAAGATTCAAAGAAAAACTACATTATGTGAGAGTAGAAAAAGTTGGCTAGGAAAAGCATTAAAAAGTATTTGCTGGGGGCAGCGCCTATGTCTCAGTGAGTAGGGCGATGGCCCCATATACTAAGGGTGATGGGTTTGAACCTGGCTCTGGACCAAATTGCAACAAAAAATAGCCCAGCACTGTGGCAGGTGCCTATAGTCCCAGCTACCAGGGAGGCTGAGGCAAGAGAATTGCCTAAGCCCAAGAGCTGAAGGTTGCTGTGAGTTGTGATGTCACAGCACTCTACCAAGGGCAACATAATAAGACTCTGTCTCAAAAAAAAAAAAGAAAGAAAGAAAGAAAGAAAAAAACTTTGGGTAGCACCTGTGGCTCAAGGAGTAGGCTGCCAGCATACACTGGACATGGTGGGTTCACACCCGTCCCCAGCCAAAAACTGAAAAAAAAAAAAAAAGCATTTGTTATTCTTTCCTTATTCTACTTACTTAAAAGGACCTGTCTTTCATCAAGCAAGAGAAAAAAGTGAATTCATATTAAACTTTTTGCCTAATCAAATACTGAAAAAAGTCTTCTATGTGGGGTATTCATCTTTTCATCCATTTTTTTAAAGTAAATTTTACTATGTATATGTAAGATATACGGCATAATGTTACAAGATACATATAGACAGTAAAATGGTTACTAAAGTGGAACAATGTCTGGTATTCTGATACTGTGTTGCATACTATAAGCAGCCATTAAATGTCTGTTGAATAAAATTTCCTAAGACCAATTTTCAAGAATCAAACCATACTCTATAACATTGTAATTTTACTGACATTTAATACTTCTGACTGACCTAACATAATTGAACAAAAAATAGGATTCAGAGTGAAATGCTCTATGATAAAAACTAGGCTCTACCTTTCACAGGCCCAGAGATTTTGGAAGAGTCACTACAAAACGGGGAGGAGAAGTGCACACACACTGGAAAACCTCCTTGGATCAAATGATTATGCCTCAAGCTGTGATTATGTTTGTTAATGGCAAACCAATATTCAAACGTGGGTTCTTACTCACATGGCGATGGCTTCCAACACTTCCACCCCAACACAATTTACAAAAGAGAATTGGAAGTGACCAATAAAGATAAAGAATGCTAGTCTATCCTGACTAGTAATCAGAGAAATGTAATAAATTGTATACCATTTTTTGTTGATTAGACTGGCAAAGATTAAAAAGAAAATAAAGAGAAATGGCATTCTCATATACCACTAGTAAACATGTATATAAATCTGTACAATTGCAGTTTAGCAATATTAATCAAAATCTCTTTAAAACACACACACACATACTTAGGCTCAGTAATTTCTTTTTCTTCTTTTTGCAGTTTTTTGACCAAGGCTGGGTTTGAATCCACCACCTCTGGCATATGGGGCCGGCGCCCTACTCCTTTGAGCCACAGGCACCGCCCAGGCTCAGTAATTTCTTAAAACTTTGCCTCACGGAAATAATATGATTAATAAGCAAAAATAAACAAAAATGTCCCCCCCCCAAAAGAAAATAATATCCATTATTAGGAAGCTGGTATAATGTTTATATAATTGGTAACATAAAATAGTTACTTAAAATGATGTTACAGAGGTATCCAAAATAAGAAAAGACATTCATCACAGAGATTAAAGCTAACTGGTAGGTTATAAAACAACATGACCTGTTATTTGAAAAATGCAATATCTATATATTTTTGTTGTCATATATACACATTTATCTATATACCACATGTCTCCTTAGGCAAAATTTTGCTATTTTTTTCCTTTTCTTTATATTCTCTAAGTTTTCTGTAGTATTATAGCTTGTAGCAGCCTGTATAGCCTATGGCTAAGAGGAGTGAGAGTTATAAGAAATACCTGTAATGGAACACCTTGGTGAAAAGGGCATGGAAGGAGATTTAGTTCTAACAAGCATGAGTGAGCTCGCGAGATGAGAGCATTGGTGAATTGGCAGTCTCTACACCTGTGGTGCTCACCTGTGGTGCTGAGAGGCACGAGCTCAGCCTTATATTAGGCTGGAGGAGCAGGCAGTCAAGAGGCATGCGCATTCTATCACGGATCCACTTACTCTGACTCTGTCTCCTCTCCTGCCTGCAGAACGCCAGCACGGCATCTCTGGTGAAGATTACCAAGCTCTGCTAAAGACTAAGAGCTATCTGTTCTAAGAAGACCTTTACTCTCTCTAAGATACTCTGTCTCTCTCTCTCTAGCTAAAGTAGATAGCCCTCAAGCACCTACGAGAAACTGTTCCTGAACAAGGTAACTTAGTGGTCCGTGTCCAGAACCTACCTAAGCTGGGCCTGAGACCTGGCCAGTCCTGGGCCCTGACAATAGCTTATATATTTTTTGTAAGACTCACTGACAAGGCAAAAAATTATACCTCAAGTTGTATTTGAAATTCTTTATCATATACTGGGTCAACTTACATTAGCACAAATCTATATGTTTGTTCTAGAACAGCACTGGATGCTAGATATTATTTGATAACAATTTTACCCCAGATATAATGAATATATTGTCACTCTTCATATCTTCATTTTGAAAAATGATCCATCCCATGTAGTTCTAGTAGGATAGTTAATCTTAGAAGCTCAACTGTGCTGTGGCTGCAGAAGTAGGCTCTTGACCCAAGGCCTGGCCACTAACTGCATCCCACTTTATTCTCCACAGTGTCTAAACACGTGGGCCACGCAGGGTCAACCAAAGTTCCTCCACAGAATCTGAAACACAAATACTAAAAAAGAAAAGTGCCCTCTTTTCTTCTGAGATAAGTATTATAAGGCCAACATGGGCTATTATGACACCATATAGAGAGTGAAAAGATGGAAAGAAGAGTCTAGACGCCTGGCATCAGCATTTATTCCCCAAATCCAGAAGAGTTTGAAGCCAGTGTTACTAGAATTTCAGTTATGTGAGTCATCACATTCCAATTTTTTTAAATTAAATCATAGTTGTGCACATTAATACTATCATGGGGTACAGTGTGTTTTTTGCCTGAAGCTGTTTTGAGTAAGGTTTATGTCACCTGCAACTGGTAAGGGGGCTTACGGAACAAATCACTATTTTATTTGTCTTGTCACAAAAAACTTCTCCTAAGAGAAATGCAAAACGAGAAACAGAAATTAAAAACGTAAACGTTTGGGTATATGTTTAATAATGCAATCTCTTCTATAACTCACCTCTCAGCAGCACGTAACACAATTACCACTCCCTCCTTGAAATAATTTCTACACTTGGCTACCAAATCATCAGGGCAACGTTTTTCTTCCCGTCTTTCTGGCCATTCCTTGAGCCTCTTTTGTTCTTTTCCTTTCTTTCCATCTTTATGTTGGAGACTCCCTGTGCTCAGGCCCTGGGCCTCATATTTCTATCCATGCGCTCACTATCTAATGTCATGTAGTCCCAATGTTTTAAAATAATTTTAATACAAAATGACTCCAAAATTTCCACTTCCAGCCCCAAGCTTTCCTTTGGGCTCCAGAGCCACTTAACACACTGCTCAGCCAGTATCTCCACTTGGACGTTTCTAGGTTCAACTTTAACATGCTCAAAGCAGATTTTCTGACTTTGCCACAAAATCCTACACTTCCCTAAGAGTTCCTCTTCTCATCAAACAGCACAGCATTTAGCCAGTTATACAAGCGAAATACTGGGAAGACTCCTTTAACTTCTTTCCTGTCCCTATAATCCTATTTACTCGATAAATTCTGATGACTATCCCTAAATGATAATTAAGGAAAATTTGTATCTGCTTACAGCTACTAATGCATGTTAAAATCAAGCTTCTGAATTATAATTCCAAACAAGAAAACAGATACTAGGCTGCGTGTGGTGGCTCACACTTGTAATCCTAGCACTCTGGGAAGCAAGTGGATTGATTGCTTGAGCTCAGGAGTTTAAGACCAGCCTGAACAAAACCAAGACCTCCATCTCTAAAAACAGCTGGGAGTTGTGGCAGGCACCTGTAGTCCCATCTACTTGGGAGGCTGAGGTAAGGTCGCTTGAGCCCAAGAGTTTGAGGTTGTTGTGAGCTCTGATGCCCTGGCACTCTATTCTAGGGTGACAAATTATCTGTCAAAAAAAAGAAAGAAAGAGTCAGGTGCAGTGGCTCATGCCTGTAATCCTAGCACTCTGGGAGGCTAAGGCAGGTTGATTGCTTCAGCTCACAGGTTGGAGGCCAGACTGAGCAAGAGTGAGACCATGTCTCTAAAAACAGCCAGGCATTGTGGCAGGCTGTAGTCCCAGCTACTTGGGAGGCTGAGGCAAGAGAATTGTTTAAGCCCAAGAGTTTGAGGTTGCTGTGCACTATGATACCATGGCACTCTACTGAGGGCAACAAAATGAGAATCTGTCTCAAAAAAAAAAAGAAAGAAAGAAAGAAAACATAATACAACAAAGGTTTGTTTGGTTGTTAATGCTATTCCTCAGCCATATAAGGGACAATATTTAGAACTACAGTAGAACCTCTGTAAGTTGACCATCCAACCTACTAGAACAAACTGGAACTGCTACTGAGTATGTGTGGTACATGTCTGGTCTATGAAAATTACATCAACTTAATAAGGAGGTGGTCAATGCAGGGAGATGGGCAACCATGGAGGTTCTATTGTATTTGTTTGACTCACAAGAAGCCTTTTATCATCTCTCCTCACAAACTGTGCTGGGCCCCTAGCACCCATTTTTATACAGCATGATACTAGCTTCTCCTGTTTACAACTAACCACCCTCTAGTGGTTTGGCTGAATTTGACTCAAGCTGTGCCAGAGGTCATTCCCAAAGAGTTTGAAATTGGAGCTGACAAAGGCAGGCAGGATCTGGTAGACTGCCTTCCTCCCTTCCTTCACACCTCGCTCTGAACACAGAGATGAAGACGCTCAATGAGTGGGACCACGTTCAGCCACGATGGGTGGGGAACTGGGGAAGACACTCCTGCAGAGGGAAAGGACAAGTGAAGCAGATGCAGAGAAACAAGCACAGAGATGAGACCTGGAAACCAAACAGCGCTTCAGTTCCTGGCAGATTTTCAGTCTCTGGGCCTGTATGTTTCTGAGGTCTCACTAAATTCCTACTCTTGAATTCTTTGACACGTCCCAGTATCTTTATAATAAATTCCCTTTTTGTTCAAATTCCAAAGATTCTTCCGTAACAATATGGGAATAGTAAAGCAGTTATAATTAATTATTTTGCTGTATGTTATATTATTTATTTATTATTATTACTATTGAGAAAAAGTCTATGTTGTACTACTTATTTTATTTTTGTCTTTTTGAGACAGAGTCTTGCTCTGCCACCCAGGCTGGAATTCAGTGGTGTGACAATAGCTGACTGGAGCCTTGAAATGCTGGGCTCAAGCAATCCTCCAACCTCAGCCTCCCAAGTAGACATGCATCACCACGCCTGGCTAATTTTTTATTCTTATTTTCATAGAGGCAGGCTTTTGCTATGTTACCCAGGGTAGTCTTAAACTCTTGGCCTAAAGTGATCCTTCTGCCTTGGCCTCCCATCATACACGAATTAAAGGCACCACACCCAATCAATTTAATGGCATAATTTGTTGTTGTTGTTATTCAAGTGGGAGAAGAGTTTGATAGCTATGCTAATGAGTTCTATCTATGAAAACACAACTAATAGCTTACTTTACATTTGTGTACATTTATAAGTATTTTATCGCACAGTAAAACATAATGCAGCATTAGTCAGCTTCATCCAAAAAAGGTGGGGGAAACCTTAGAGTGATCCGCACATAACAGAGTATCATTTTAAAATGTTGGCCCATCTGAATTCAAAAAAAAGTTTCTGAGTTACCAATTAGCTGGATAGGCTTGGCACCTGTATCTCAGTGATTAGGGCACCAGTCACATACATGGGGGCTGAAGGGTCTGAATTGGGCCTGGGCCTGCTAAACAACGACAACTACAACAACAAAAAAAATAGCTGGGCGTTGTGGTAAGCACCTATAGTCCCAGATACTTGGGAGGCTCAGGCAAAAGAATTGCTTAAGCCCAAGAGTTTGAGGTTGCTGTGAGCTGTGACACCATGGCACTCCATCCAGGGTAACAGTTTGAGACTCTGTTTGAAAAAAAAAAATATATTAGGGTGGTGCCTATGGCTCAGTGGGTAGGGCACCAGCCCCGTATACCAAGGGCAGAGGGTTCAAACCCAGCCCTGGCCAAACTGCAACAAAAAAATAGCTGGGTGTTGTGGCAGGCACCTATAGTCCCAGCTACTCGGGAGGCTGAGGCAAGAGAAT